CGGCGTCGTCTATACGCCCCCCCCTGCGATAACTGAAGCAGCTGTTACGGCTGTCAGGGCCTCTGCCGAGAACCAAGGCAGAGCGGGACAGATGAATCCCTTTAGCGGTCAGGTGAACGTTCATAAGCGAATGTCAATATCCCTCGACCTAACCCGGCAAGACAACGAACTCGTGTTTCAATGGTTAGGGCGGTTGATTCTGATCAACAGGGTCGTTAGTTGGAGGCTCCAGTGTGGCAGCACTGGCTGATGACGGCTAATAAGTCAGAAATGACTATTCCAGTCTCCCTTTTCAATGCCGGTTATACGATCTGCCTAAACCAGCATCTCTCGCGCAGAGGGCGGCAGGAAGCCGAGAGGCGGCGAACCCATAACTGTATAGATTTTGGGCTGCGGTCCTCAGTCATTCCGCCTTACTCGTTCTTCCCTGAGCGATAACCGAAGTTATTGCATCAGTGAGGAACGTGTTAATGCCAGAAAAATGGAAGACTCTGAAGCCCTATGAAGGCCACCGTTTTTTACAAGTAGCATATTTGTTTTGCGAAGTACATGCTCGACCTTTGCAATAAGCCTACGCTTGTTCGCCCTGCAGACCGTACCAAGTTCGTCATTCTATTTTCCTTTCGCACTCTCTACCTCGTTACTCAAATCACTCTGCAGGGCCATTCATCCACCTATCCAGATTATAGAATGGAATCGAAGGAGTTCGTTTTACCTTGAAGTTTCAACCTAGTGTCCTTGCGTGCAGTCGCGCAACAATCCATAATCTGTCAGTCTGGTCTACAAAGGCAAGGGAGCCTGGACTAGCCAGTGCTATCGTAAGTCAATCACCCCTCAGCAGACGTGAGATTTGATTTTGGTTTTTTTAAATTGACTTCGCTGTCAATATGGCTATAAATTATTTTGGCGTTGTTAGTACTATGCTCCTATCTTCCGAAACATAAATGTATATTGCTTAGATATCAATGATGGTTTGCTAACTTAACCTTCAAAACCATTTTTTTCTTGTCAAGGTACCAGTCTCTTTATGGATTTAGTAGGTCTACTGGATCAGTCTGTCTGCTGAACTATTTGGACTTTGCTTTGAGGCTTAATGAATAACTGATCTGCTGGGTGCAGATTGTGCAACCTTTTGTATGCAGCTTGCCTTCGGAATGTTGGGGTGTGTCTCCAGCCCATTCATCGAACTAGGAATAGACACCAGAGCAACAATGATTTACACCATCGGGCGGTGAGACCAAGATCTCGAATGAGTTCAAAAGAACTGGATTGGAATTGTTTAAATGAACTCTTAACGTTTGCGACTGTTGTACTTATCGCCTCCAAATGTTAGTACATACTACCTCTAGTAAGATAGTCTGCTGTTTAAAGCAGAATTCGGGAGCGAATGCCAGTGTTTCGTTGCCATTAAACGCAACTTCTTCTAATTTCAGTCTAGATCGCTTTTTTTCCGTATGCTGCCACTACAGATACCTCTGATATTTTACCAAACAGCAACTTTAAATTGCTTGTGTATCGCCGTTTTTTATTCTATCATCCAAGAATAAATTCAATCCCTGTAGTTCAAAAGACCCAACTTGAAGTCTTAAAACTGACACCGACTTATAAACGAGGAAGGAGCAAATGAGTTCAATTAAGTAGATGCGCGCATGGCGAAGTTTGACAATAATTAGTAGTATTTAGTTTTAAATTGTCAGTGTTGGCTGCCTGTGGGTTAAGCTCACGGTTGTCCGTGATTGACGGACTGTATCCGCTATGGTTCTGTTGTGTAAAAGTTTGAAAAAAAGACTGTGATAGTGATTCATTACTCGATTCTCAGTCATTCTTTTGGGCAGGCAAGAGGTTAAAAACAGGTATTTGCTCAGGTAAAGCGAACTTGATTGCTCAGCCCAGGCCTTACGGGCGTGTCTAAGCCAGTAATGCATAGTCTGCAATTGAGAACATTCAGTCAACAGGACAATGTTTTATGGCGGAACCGTTTTTATAGTCGAGAAGACTAAAATATAGGACTTTGATAATTTTCAAAAAAAGCTTTTTCAGTAAACGCTTAACGAGGGCGTAGGTCAAAGAAGAACATCTACTCCCTCACAATGTGCTCAGCAGGTGAGAACCTAATAGGAAAGTCGAGGAAACAAACACTGACTACATTCACCACTTTCCTAAGAACCTGCCCTCGTGGTACATAAAAGAAACTGAGGGATGATGCTCTCCAACCGCCTTGCGACACACTGCAGCAACCCCAGCGGACTATAGGGACATCGTTATCTTCCTTGGTATTTTATGCGGAAGTTATACTTTTGAAAGCTCCTCATCTGGTTTTCTGATATTTGCTCGAATAACTCACGCTATTTCAAGAACCGTTTGAATACAGCAGTAGGTAGTAGGTTGGCCCAACGTTTTGTCAGTACATCGAGCGATTCAAAGACCTGTAATCGATCAGAGCAGTACGGTACCGTTTACCATATTTTTGGCATCAAATCTTGTTGTTGTAATTCTGCAGACCAATCGAGATGAATGTTAGGATTCTGCGTAGGGGAGCGCAGAGTGGTTCACGACACGGGGATCCAATCATCAACTTGCACCCGAGATAGATCATTTCGCTGATACTCCCGCCGCAATGTACCCATCCAACTGAAGTGCAGAACACGGTCGGAACTTATTTATTATGAGGATTCCCATAACTGACAAGTGTCGAGATGCCGTTTTGTTATCTCTGCGGCGCAATCCCCATAAACGCCCCAAATTCCAGTTACATAAATATATTATTTCGACATTTAAACAGTCCCATTCCTCGGTAAATGTATTCTGATAAAAAGTTGCCTTTCCACCAGGACCTCAATATTACCGACCCCCTAAGTCAAGAGCCATTCCGAGTACTGATTTTGTGAAATATTTGTGGAGCAAAGCGAAGGATGGCTCCGGGCCTCGCAGTCTTCTTCCAAAACCCCGGTCCCAGATAAATTTTAGTTACTAGTTACCAACGTCTCTGCGCCAAACCCCAGGGGAAAATATGGTTAAGTTTTTCATAGGGGTTAACGGCTAAGGTTTGTGTTTCGGTCACTTTTAAGGTAAGGATACGGAAATAGGTACCGTCCTTGAAGTTGTGCGCAGGGCAACCGTTACTTCTTGCGAATCGCATTCCTATTACTGTGTCCTGTTTGGATAGTCATAGAAATTATCCTTACCGTAACCTTATGGAATATTTACCTTTGAAAATAAAATAACTAGCATTAAGATATTACGGCTGTTAAATAGCAGATATTCTTAACCGCAGTAAGACTTAACGTTTTTCAACCCTACGAAATTAAACTGTTTGATTCACAGTGTCATCGTTTAGGGTTCAGTCATTGCAGCACCTTGACAAACCACAACTATTTGCAACTGCAAAATTACTACAAATAGGGTACCTGCAGTGTAATTATAACTCTCCCCTCAGTCTTTGGCACATTCTAAAATAAATTCGGGTTATTTGCCCAATGTAACCTACCAAGCTCCACTGCCGGCCAACTACAAAATTAAGCGCTCAGTGAACTAAACGATACAATTTCTTCTGAATAAATGCGAACGTCCCATCAAAATAGTAGGGCCTGTTATATGGTTGGACGACGATAAATCTGCCTGGCCTACTTCACTTTTTCTCGAACATGTGCTGCTTTAGGGGCTGAAAAATCATCTCCCATCTTTCAGTTGACGAGTTCTTGTAGTGGTCGTGTCTGTCCGACGCTCTCCTAACCTTTGACGCCACAGCCGAGGTCACTCAGAGCATAGGACCTCGCGCGAAAACAGTTTTCCTGTGTGCCTCGAGGCATGCGCAAACGGACGGGCGACCGCCACTACTGCCAGATGCAACTGACGCGCACCCAAACGGACGCACCATGTCTCCCCCATTCTGGCCTCAACCCATAGTGGCTTGACCTCAATCCGT